TCCGTACAGTTTCTGTTATCTTCCCTGTACAATTTAGCAAATGCGAACAATCCCTATGATTTTGCGATAACAAATCAATATACCGATAAGATAACTCGTCATTTGTTGCTGAGAAAAGGTATTTATCCTTACGAATATATGGATGATTGGTCTAGATGCGATGAAACTGAATTACCACCCCTCGAATCATTCTATAGTAACTTAACAGAATCTAAAATAACAGATGCCGATTATGAACACGCTCTGACGGTCTGGGATAAATTAGGTCGTAAGAATTTAGGCGATTATCACGATCTGTACTTAAAAACCGATGTACTGTTACTCGCCGATATATTCGAGATATTTAGAAAGACATGTTTCAAACAATACAGCTTGGACCCGGCATGGTACTATTCCAGTCCCGGACTATCGTGGGATGTATTGTTGAAGAAGACCGGCGTAGAACTAAAACTACTCACAGATTACGATATGCACTTGTTTATTGAGAAAGGATTAAGAGGGGGTATATCGATGGCAGTGAAAAGATATTCTAAGGCTGATAATAAATTAGTGGAAGGATACGATCCGAGTAAACCTGACACTCACATATTATATCTCGACGCCAACAATTTGTACGTATGGGCTATGAGTCAACCTTTACCCACGGGTGGTTTTGAGTTGGTCGATGATATCGATGTGAAGGATGCGAATAAAGGGTACATACTAGAAGTTGACTTGGAATATCCAAGTTCGTTACATAAAGACCATAACAGTTATCCGCTAGCTCCCGAAAGATTAATGGTTAATAAAAATTGGATGTCGGAATATCAACGCTCCTTGATGGGTAATAGTAGGTTAGCTAACGTAGAAAAACTTGCACCCAATTTGATGGATAAGACAAAATATATAGTTCACTACAGAAATCTCCAGTTATATCTATCGTTAGGTATGAAACTTAAGAAAATACACAGAGTTCTAAAGTTTGATCAAAGCCCTTGGATGGAGACCTATATAAGGTTGAACACAGATTTAAGAAAGATAGCTACCAGCGATTTCGAAAAGAATCTGTATAAGCTCATGAATAACTCAGTATTTGGTAAAACTATGGAGAATCTAAGGAAGCATGTTGATGTTAAATTAGTCAGATCTAATGAGGAAGAAAGACTCAGGAAACTTATAGCCAGTCCGGCTTTTAACAGAAGCAAGATATTCGATAACGATAACGCCGTGTTGCATATGCAGAAAAGTAATATAAAATTCAACAGACCGGTGTACGTCGGTATGAGTATTCTCGACTTGTCAAAACACTTAATGTATGACTTTTATTACAACGAACTTAAGAAGCAATACGGCGATAGATGCGAGGTGTTATATACCGACACAGATTCTTTGTTGATGGAAATACAAACCGAGGATGTGTATAAAGATATGGCAGAAAAAATAGATATGTACGACACGAGCGATTACCCAAAAGATAATCCACTGCACAGCGTAGTAAATAAAAAGGTGTTAGGTAAGATGAAGGATGAATGTGCTGGGACCCCTATAGCGGAGTATGTAGGATTAAGACCTGTATGTAGAAGATGTATTCTATAAAGAAGTCTGATAATGGGGAGATAAGAAAAGCTAAGGGTGTTAAAAAGTATGTTGTAAAAAAGCATATCAAACACGAACAGTATAAAGAATCATTATTCAACGGTAGAACGTTCAAACACGAGATGAACTCTTTAAGAAGTTACAATCATAGGATATATGGATTAAGAATGAACAAGACATCATTATCCCCCTTAGATACAAAGAGATGGATTGATAATGATGGTGTAACTACCTATGCTTATGGTTATGGCGGTAATACCGTACCGTCGGGAACTATGAACAACTCTTCTCGTACAAATGCCCTACCCGGTCCATCTTCAAGATAATAAAGAATAGGCTCTCCTTCTTTCATAACCAATCTACTAATGTTATATGTCTTAAGAGACCAAATCGGATCGGTTGCACGACGTAGGCCTCCTTCGAGTTCACCGGGCTGGTATAAATATCTTACCCTTACTCTATCCGGAAGTTTTCGTTCTTTGCCTCTCCTCGGTGCTGAAGATTCGGAAGTCACGGATTTCATTTTAATAGCATCGGATGGTTTCTTCACTATTAATCTTGTTACTTCATTATTCAGCGCTGATACAACGGCTGATAATTGTGTCACCCATTCGGTTGATCTCAATCGCTCGGATTTCATTTCGATCCCATACTGATAGCCAAACAAACGTTCCGCTTATGTCCTGTTAAATCTTTCGACGATAGCTTGACTGCGGTGGGCCTTTCTTTCACCATGCCTGATTTCGACATCGTGCTTTGTTAACAGTTTTGTTATCGATCCCATAAACTCGCGACCGGGATCTACTTGAAATAGCTTAGGCCATTTTAGTGGTCCGCGTTTATATATGCTCAGTGCATTAGCTACTTCTGTTGAATCTTTCGAGGTTAATGGCTCAGCCTCTTTGTATCGACTAGCCACATCTACTACTGTTAAAGCGTATTTATACGTTTTGCGTCTTACCTAATCGTGGGGAAGAAACAAGAGGTCAGCCTGATGAACTTCATTCGTTGTAAATATATCAAATTTCTTCCTTGGTATATAACGCGGTGCCGGTAAATATATTTGCCACATCGCTTGTTTCTTTAACCAATCCTTGGCCACATCTTTAGATACCTTAGCCGTGGTGGCTAATTTTTTTATTGCTCCTACACCTTTCCAATATCCTCGTGGGCTATAGTATATTTTATTCATTATTAATTAATATTGATGTTTCTTTTAATATGACTTATGACTATCATTAAATCGCATAATCATTTTGACATAAAAAATGCCACCTGTAGTAGCAGTATAGGTATATAAATCTGGCTCCAGTGGAAGTGGTCCAGAACCCCCATTACCTATACTACTCGGTCTCTTGACCGGGAAACTCTTCTTAGCCAGGGCTGTCTGTCTATTCTTATCATCTTCATATCTTGGTTTAAGGCAGAAAACCTTGTCTCAAACATCGCCTTTATCATCTCCTGCTGTTGCTTCAATAATTGTTGTATGAGGTTCATGGAGATTGCAGGAGATGTTTTTCTGCTTGAATAGTTGTAGGAGGCATTGGGGTAGAGTCAGGGGTCTGATCAGTCAACAACCGTAATGGCTTCAACTTTATTCTTGGCCGCTTCATGCCTTTTAGCCTTAGTTACAGCCTCAGCTTACTTTTTAGAAGGCTTTCTTAGATGTTGGTGCACTGCTCACATCTAGCCTCCTCTGTACATGACGTCTCTGCACTTCCAGCAGGTCTGATGAGGATCTGCCATGATCATGAACGACCACACGTCTTGCAACCCGGAGTAAAGGGAGACTCCATTACGACCTACAACACCCCTCACACCAGTGATTGGTAATTGGCAATGGACAATGGGCAAACGGGAGGCCGGGGGTAATTACCAATCACTGATAATTTAGTCCTTGCTTCCAGTTGTCCATAACTACATGTATCAGCGCTAATTACTGTTAAGTCTTGGTTTCCACTGTCTATTGCTAATCACCTATCAATGCCAATTATCTGTGGGCTTCCCTTGTTAAGTTTCAACCATTTGTTATCTTATTACTTTTGTTGTTCTTACATGTACATACGAGGGGCGTTCAATAAGTTTTGCAACTTCAATATAAGACCAAGTCTCAGAATATCTTTTGCACTTTTATTTTTCAATATATTCTCCATTCACTTCAATACACTTATTCCATTTGTCCTTCAAGCTTTTAATACCACTTTTATAGAAATCCGCAGATTGGCCCTCTAACAGTACTGTGGCAGCCTTTATGTCCTCGTCATCCTGGAAGCGTCTACCACATGGGGCAGATTTCATTTGCCAGAACAGGAAATAGTCACTGGGGGCTAAATCTGGGCTGTAGGGTGGGTGATTTAACTGTTCGAATCCACATTCACATAATTCACATATGGATTTCTTTTGCTTGGCATCCCTCCTTGGTAACGAACTTTATTACAGAGCGTTGTTCATGTTTGAGAGAATCAATGATTCTGACCATGTGCACCCTCAGGTGAATGAAGCCATCACATCTAACTTATTGTTGTGTCTGGAACTTGATATGACACATGTCAACCTGATGTTATAACTAGTGTCACACCTGCCACAAGTTGACATTGTTTGTGTAAACACAAATGCTCAAGTTGCAAAACTTAGTGAATGCCCCTCGTATATATGCTCTGCCTCATATCATTCATTCACCTGATGAAGTAAGCATATACTCTGAAAGTTGTGTTCCTCAATATAAAGAAGTTGACATTCATAAATTTGTTTCCTTATGTGTATCACTTCTAAATGCCTTTCAAAGACTTAATATATATTCAGTTCTGAAATGGATTCACTGAAGATTACGTCAGAAACCCCGGCATACTACCAGGTCTAGACGCCAACCTCAGTCCATTTCTTACTACACATGTAAGACATGGCTGAGTAATGGCCAAAAATAGGTTTACGACAAGGCAGCCATAAAATCAGATTTGAACCTCGTCATGAATGAATCTCCTTCCCTGGATTTCCTTGAGGTTAGAAGGATGCGTTTGTGTAGAAAGCATTCAGTGTTCTTCAATACTGTCACTCTAAGCCCTACAGTCTTGGTGCTGTCATTTGCAAATCTATTATTGAGTTTCAAAGGTATGGCCACTGCATATATATTTCATGATGCATGATAGGCTAGGTGTTGTCACTTTCATTACTTTGCCGACTCAGTCATTTCATGTTTTACACTATTAAGCATTACATGCCTCCAGCAAAGATAAACTATTTTAAAATATGCATACAGAAGAACACGTATCTGTGGTGTTTATGGACATGGCGTGTCACACTGGAGTCCAGCTATGTGAGCATCCACACCAGATATCAAAATGACATCATTCAACAAATGACGGAACCTGCCATGAATCAGACTATCTGGCATTTCCTGATCAAGGAGTTTACACTGAATGCCATACCTGACTGCATTTGAAAGGACTGTCAATACAGATGTAAGATGGATAGACATCAAAGAATTCTGTTGCTGCGAGTCTTGGCTGCTGCCCAAACTGTAACACACAAATTTTAAAATAGTATAAATGATTAGACCACAACATTTTTTTCCAGTCCACAAAGTTGAATGGGGATAGTGACAAAAATAATCATAAATCAGGAAATCATAAATACCAGCTTATGTTGGAATAATTTATTCTCACAATTCAATTCCAAAAATTGCATGGAAAGCCTGTAATATGTACATCACAACAGAAGCATTGCTCTGTGTAATCCACACTGTACAACTAATTTTGACAATTTTGGAAAATAATCTTTGAGATAAAATTGAATATTATAAGGACATTCTACCAAGTTTGAAACCACAGACTATTACATTTTTTAAGAAAAAAATCTTCAGAATCAAGGGTTCATAAGGGATATTTCAAAGACAAAATATTGTGTCCAATACACAGAAAAATTAAGAATCCACTCAAATAACATTTGACCGCCTCCGTGGTCTAGTGGTAGAGTGTCCGCCCGGAGAGCGGAAGGTCCGGGGTTCGATCCCCGATCACGTCATACCAAAAGACATTAAAAGATGGTACTTGTTGTTACCCTGTCTGGCGCTCGGCATTAAGGGGCTAAAACAAGGACTGGTTGGCTTGGAGTCAGTATACTGTGTCTGAGTGGGGTATTCATGTTAAACTGCGGCATGGTATCTCAGTGAGCTAGCACTATAAATCGGCATCAGTCCAGACTAGTACAAGCAGCCACATAACCACATACACGTACATGCACGTCGCTATATAAGTGCAATAATCTTGGACGCGACGTTAAACACCATTTCACCTCACCTCACCTCAAATAACATCCATTGTGAGTCCCCTGTGATGCACAAGAGTGTGGATGTTGGAATGATTGAAACCAGATAGACTGAAACATGGTCACTTCTGCCTAGTTCACTACCGCTTGGTTCACTTCTGCCTAGTTCATTACTGCCTAGTTCACTTCTGCCTAGTTCATCACTGCCTAGTTCATTACTGCCTAGTTCATTACTGCCTAGTTCACTTCTGCCTAGTTCATTACTGCCTAGTTCACTTCTGCCTAGTTCATTACTGCCTAGTTCACTTCTGCCTAGTTCATTACTGCCTAGTTCACTTCTGCCTATAGTTCATCACTGCCTAGATCACTTCTGCCAAGTTCACTACCGCCTAGTTCACTTCTGCCTAGTTCATTACCGCTTAGTTCACTTCTGCCTAGTTCACTTCCGCTTAGTTCACTTCTGCCTAGCCCTTACAAAAAAACAACCCAGAAAAGATATATCCGAGACCGCCCCAAGACCGCCCTGATGCATCTTTTGTGGAATTTTAGCCAATTTTTATGGTCTCGTCTAGCCGAGACTTTGCGGAGACCCATCGAAGACTATTCTGGGATTTAATCAAATACTTCCCCACAAAGGCATTAACCTACCAAAGACGTTTCTAGTGCATCTCCACTAGCAGGGGATGTCTTAGGAGATCTCTTAAGATGTCTCGGATACGTCTTCGCTAGCGAAGACCTTCAAATCAACTTTGCAAAGACTATTCGGAGACTTCCTCAGAAGGGCCATAAAGTAGCTGAAGGTTTGCAAAGATGTATCAGTGCATCCTCGCTAGCAAAGACCCCACAAAGACTTTGTGAGGACTATTCGGAGACTTCCTCATAAGGCAATAAAATAGCTGACTGTTTGCAAGGATGTATTGAGTGCATTCTCACTAACGAAGACCCCACAAAAACATTTGTGGGGACTTTTCGAAGACTTCTTTACAAACAAACAAAATTGAAAAGATACTGTGGAGTCTTCTTTGCTTGTGGAAATCTTCGAAAGAACTTTGCAAAGACTATTCAGAGACTTCCTCACAAGGCAACTTGATAACCGGTTTGCAATGATGATGTGAATGCATCCTCACTAGCCAAAACTATATGAAGACTTTTGTAAGTGTATACCTTTCAAAGACTTTCTTTCAATTGATACAGATCAATACATTGAGCTTTAGTCAAGATCTCGGAAAACTAGGTCCCTTGCTTGGAAGAGATGACATGATCATTATTATTTATTTTGAATTTTCTTTAAGGATAATACTAAAGCTCTTATCTTATACAATCACATGCAATGAATTAGAAATCCTATATATGTCAGCAAGGACATTAATAATTAAATACCCAACACAATTAATGCTTCGAGGTATATTTCTATTAAATACAGTTATAACAAATGCAGGAATTATCAGTATGCAATAATCAGAAAAAAGAAAGAAATGTACAATATATTCATAAATTCCAATCAGAAAGTAACAGTGTCCTTGTGCCATATCACAGTCTCCTCAGAAAAAGGTATATAAGAAAAGGCAACATAAAGTAATATTACTTGTAGACATAGTGGCTGATTTGTGGCTCAAGATATACATGACAGGGATCGAAATTAAATTTATTTTAAGTTTGCCAATGGGCACAATTATGCCAAATTAAGTGTGGCATTACATTTTTAGGGGTGCCAGGAAATACATGATTGGCTGTTTTAATGGTTATAATCATAATTCAAATACAAGTCAAGTGACTGTCATACTGTTTATTCAAGTTAAATTATACTTAGAATGAATGTTCAATCAGAAAATTCAAAAACATCACTCTGTCCATGGGGTGTGGTCCCTCTTCACCCCCCCCCCCCCCCCCCTCCTTGAATAACACGTACCATGTGACACACCATTATCTTCAACGCTTATTTTGTCATCTACACGATAGTCAACTCGCCTTGAGTATTTACATTACTTTAACATGCTATTTTATTGGTTTCTGGTGACGCTTTCTTGCCGAAATCTGCTATAAGATTCGTGATTGGTCAAATTGAGCACGTGACCTAATACAACCAATTACAGCAACGGTACTTGTGTATATCAGACTTTGACGAAAGGTTTTTGTTAAATCGTGTTGTTCTGAATGTTTTAAGCAGGAAATCGCGATCTATATTAAAAATATGAAACTTCGTGGATGTATCGTGCCAGGTTACGAGCTGAGACAAAGATTTTTCTTGCATATATTTTGGCATTAAACATTGTGGAGAAATCGAGGCGATAAAGTATTAAAAGCCGCGATGCCATTTGACTCACATCACACGCGATCGCACGAAAAGATGGAAATGATAACTTATATCTAAGTTTGACAACTTTTAGACAGATAAATAATTTTGTTGATTTCATTTATTACTTTGTAAAATATATTTAAAGATTTGATTGACACGTTTTTATTTTGCTCTTTGACTTGTTCGATGTGGACCCATTGTCAAAGTGTGTGTCGGAGAATTCTATTTTCAATAACATTGCGGGAAATAGATCTAGTGAATAATATTTTAATCTATCGATAAAAAATAATAATTTGAAAGAGAATCAAAAACTGTAAAAGAGAGTCACCAAACCTTCATCGAGATAGAATCTACGCCGACTCTGAGTTCAGCAAGGATGACAACGTGTGCTCCTGAACAAACAGTAGGTACACTTTAGATCTGTTTGTGTTACATAAATATATTTTTTACATATAGCCCTCTATATTGTCTCCATAACAATTATACTAAATAAATCCACCGAAACGACCCCCGATCCAAACCAATTCTCACTTAGATATTGAACTTAGTTTTAGCATTCGCTGAAAGAGAAATCTTTTTTCAAGCTCCATTTATAAATCATAAATTTATGTTCTAATTTGGAACCTCAAACTGAATAAGTCAGTTAGAAACTTCAATATTAGACCCTTTACTCATCTAATTTGGGACTATTTATGAAAAAGAAATAGGCGCAGATGTTATTTTGTAATATTGCGCAGGCCTTTCAGATTTCATGTTTTGATCACATCGTGGTTCTCCGTAAAATTTACCGAGAGCACCGATGTGGGACTGAGATAAATAGTATTTTTTCAAAACAAATTATGTATCTGGTCACTGAAATGTGAAATATGATCGCAGACTGTTGTCATAAGTTTATAAATTTATTGAATTAATAGATAACAAATTATATATTTGTATTATGTTAAACTATATTTGTCTTAAGTTGTATTTGAAATTAAAACTTAGTTTTTTTTACAAACAAATGTCCATAGTTGTATGGTAATTAGTACGGGAATTGCCGCCATTTTGTAACCTGCTGTTTTATAACGAGGATATTGGTTGATATTTTTTTAAGAACTCGTAAGTAAGGGAAACTCATGTATTGTAACGTTTGTTTGAAATAGATATATGTTCCCAGTAAATGTTGTGGTCTTATCGTTTTCCCCGTCGACATGCTCCATCGCCATCGCGATATAGATCTAGAATTACGTTTTGGACTGGCACCAGGTTGTTGAAATTTTGGCAAAGTTGCCAGTGTCAACTTTGTTTTGTGACCAGCAATACCCGCCTTTTAGTTTTAGGTTATTAATGAATGCAACTTGATTTTTCAGCCCCCTTCCTTGTGGTGATTTTTTAAGACAAAAAAGGAACGATACTTCATAGGAAGACGTGAACTCCTGCTGATGTGCCTGTTTCATGAAAAGGGATCAAGAAGAAGCCAGTTGCTGCCTGGTTGCCAGCAACTTGGTGTTTTTACGATGCTACCGACACCGATGTGGTACTCGAAGGTCAGTATCTTTGTTAAGTGTCAGGTAAATTTCATTTCAGGTTAATGGAACTGTAACTAAATAAGTTATGAAACTAACTGGTACTTACCAAGTGCACACACAGACTTGTAAGGTAAAGGTTTAATTTTTATAATTTAATATCAGAATCATTGTAAGGAATCAGTAGGTGTTACAATCTAAATATCCTTCCTGTGTTTAACTTTTGAGCAAATATGAGTACTTGTAAATGTCAAAACCATTTTTTACATTTTTCTAGAACACAATGACATTTGAATGTGTAATGCTTTGGTCAACTTACATGGACATATCAATATTAAGTGAATATCTAATCACAAGATGTTAACTAATTGACATCATTTAAAATCTAGTTTTGGTACAAGTGGTAGGTTTTGTAACTTTTAAATCATCATACATTTGGACTGGAACCATTTCACCTGAGTGCAATTTTAATGCTCTTATCTTGTTTGCAATTTATTTTTACTGTATCATGAATTATAAAGCTTTGATTTATCATCCAGTGTAACATGTTATTGTTTTCATCAGTTCTGAAACCGGCAAAGAAAAAACAACTAGAACTTTGTGGGGAGCAAGAAGATCTGCACGCTAAGGAATGCCTTCAAGTGAATGAGCCATGGTTTGTTTCATTCACCATAACATCAGTAATTTTGCAGCCCCCAAAAAGTAATTTTTGTAATAGTTTTTAATGCGTCTCCTTGACGTCTGACATAAAGTAACTAGTTAGTGGCACTGATGGGGGCTGTCCGGTAGCCTAGTGGTTAAAGCGTTCGCCCGTCACGCCAAAGACCCAGATTCGATTCCTGACATGGGTATAATGTGTGAAGCCCATTTCTGGTGTCCCCCGCCGTGATATTGCTGGAACATTGCGCAAAAGCGGCGTAAAACCATACTCACTCACTCATTATGTCACTGATATACAATAACATTTGATCCCATTTCAGCCTCTTGAAGGACAGCTTCCATGACGACCCCTGCCAGGACAAGGATGACTTCCACTTTCATATGATGACTTCCACTTTCATATGATGGCTACCATATAATGATATCTTCTGTTGATGATGTCCACCTCTGGCTACTTGTTATTGCTGTTATTACTCCAAATAAAGAGAATACTATACAACTTCGTTATCTTATTTTTGACAGTACAGGTTTGGCAAGGATGTTTCACAGACACTTCTGGGATGCTGTTGAAAGACTAGATTATGATGTAAGCACATCTTTTGTATTACTGAAAATGATGGAAAGGTAAAATGTCTCTGAATCATGTTTGTTATGGAGACTTCCTTAGAACTTTGCCGGGATGGTTCAAAGAAATGTTAAATTACCCATGACAGGTTTGTGAAGACACTTCAGAGACTTCCTTGCAAGTGTTGCGGGGATGCTTCAGAAGCATCTTTGATTGCATAACACAAGTTTGTGGGGACTTATCAGTGACTTCCTCAGAAAGTTTCCCGGGATGGTTCAAAGCATATTTAATTAGCCCTGATAGGTTTGCGAAGATGCTTCGGAGACTTCCTTGCAAGTTTTGCTGGGATGCTTCAGAAACATCTTTGATTACCTAATAATAGTTTGTGGAGACTATTCAGGGACTTCCTAAGAAGGTTTCCCGGGATGGTTCAAAGCATATTTAATTACCCCTGATAGGTTTGCGAAGATGCTTTGGGGACTTCCTTGCAAGTTTTGCTGGGATGCTTCAGAAACATCTTTGATTACCTAATAATAGTTTGTGGAGACTATTCAGGGACTTCCTAAGAAGGTTTCCCGGGATGGTTCAAAGGATATTTAATTACCCCTGATAGGTTTAAGAAGATGCTTTGGGGACTTCCTTGCAAGTTTTGCTGGGATGCTTCAGAAACATCTTTGATTGCCTAATAATAGTTTGTAGAGACTATTCAGGGACTTCCTAAGGTTTCCCGGGATGGTTCAAAGCATATTTGATTACCCCTGATAGGTTTGCGAAGACGCTTCGGAGACTTCCTTGCAAGTGTTGTGGGGATGCATTAGAAACATCTTTGATTATGTCACACACGTTTGTGGAGAATAATCAGGGACTTCCTAAGTGGGTTTGCCGAGATGGTTCAAAGCATATTTAATTAGCCATATAGGGTTAATTCTGAGGAAGTATCGGAGACTACTTCAGTAGGTACTGTAAGGAAGTCTTGGATACTTCTCAGCAAGCTGCAAGTTGGAGTAGTTTGCCGAGATGGTGTGGAGACATTTGCCGGGAATATCTAGAGACGTCCTTAAGACCCTGCAGAGAAGGTAAAAATGTGCCTTGCGGGGAATTATTAAGGCGGTCTCGGATGCATCTTTTCTGGCCTTTTTTTTTTGTAAGGGAGTTCATTACTGCCTAGTTCACTTCTCCCAAGTTCACTACCGCCTAGTCCACTTCTGCCTAGTTCACTACTGCCAAGTTCACTACCGCCTAGTTCACTACCGCTTAGTTCACTACCGCCTAGTTCACTTCTGCCTAGTTCATTACTGCCTAGTTCACTTCTGCCAAGTTCACTACCGCCTAGTTCACTTCTGCCTAGTTCATTACTGCCTATTTCACTTCTGCCTAGTTCGCTATTGCCTAGTTCACTTCTGCCAAGTTAACTACCGCCAAGTTGACTTTTGCCTAGTTCGCTATTGCCTAGTTTGTTACTGCCTAGTTCACTACTGCCAAGTTCAATACCGCCTAGTTCATTACTGCCTAGATCACTTCTGCCTAGTTCGCTACTGCCTAGTTCGCTTCTGCCTAGTTCATTACTGCCTAGTTCATTACTGCCTAGTTCACTTCTGCCTAGTTCACTACTGCCAAGTTCACTACCGCCTAGTTCATTACTGCCTAGTTCACTTCTGCCTAGTTCATTACTGCCTAGTTCACTTCTGCCTAGTTTGCTACCGCTTAGTTCACTTCTGCCTAGTTCATTACTGCCTAGTTCACTTCTGCCAAGTTCACTACTGTCTAGTTCACTTCTGCCTAGTTCACTACTGCCAAGTTCACTTTTGCCTAGTTTGCTATTGCCTAGTTTGCTTCTGCCTAGTTCATTTCTGCCAAGTTCACTTTTGTCTAGTTCACAACCACCTTAAGTTTACTTCTGCCTAGTTCACTTCTCCTAGTTCACTTCTGATTAGTTCACTACTGCCTTAAGTTCACTTCTGCCTAGTTTGCTTCTGCCTAGTTCATTTCCGCCTAGTTCACTTCTGTCTTGCCTACTTCTCTCTGTCTAAGTGACCTCACACCGGTGCACATCAAGTGACACAATCTGTGCACTTGGTGTCACTGGAGTACAATCGGTGTGAATCTGATGCTCACTAGAGTACAGTCTGTGTGATTGGTGTCACTAGAGTACAATCTGTGTGATTGGTCTCACTAGAGTACAATCTGTGTGATTAGTGTCTCTAGAGTACAATCTGTGTGATTGGTGTCACTGGAGTACAATCTGTGTGATTGGTGTCACTAGAGTACAATCTGTGTGATTAGTGTCACTAGAGTACAATCTGTGTGATTGATGTCACTAGAGTACAATCTGTGTGATTGGTGTCACTAGAGTACAATCTGTGTGATTGGTGTCACTAGAGTACAATCTGTGTGATTAGTGTCACTAGAGTACAATCTGTGTGATTGGTGTCACTGGAGTACAATCTGTGTGATTGGTGTCACTAGTGTATAATCTGTGTGATTGGTCTCACTATCATACAATCTGTGTGACTGGTGTCACTGGAGTACAGTCTGTGTGATTGATGTCACTAAAGTACAATATGTGTGATTGGTGTCACTAGTGTACAATCTGTGTGATTGGTGTCACTAGAGTACAATCTGTGTGATTGGTGTGAGGAGAGTACAATCTGTGCACTTGGTGTTACTAGAGTACAATCTGTGCACTTGGTGTCACTAGTGTACAATCTGTGTGATTGATGTCACTAGAGTACAATCTGTGTGATTTGTGTCACTAGAGTACAATCTGTGTGATTGGTGTCAGGAGAGTACAGTCTGTGTGATTGGTGTCACTAGAGTACAATCTGTGTGATTGGTGTCACTAGAGTACAATCTGTGTGATTGATGTCACTAGAGTACAATCTGTGTGATTGGTGTCACGAGAGTACAATCTGTATGATTGGTGTCAGGAGAGTACAATCTGTGTGATTGATGTCACTAGAGTACAATCTGTGTGATTGGTGTCACTAGAGTACAATCTGTGTGATTGGTGTCTGGAGAGTACAATCTGTGCACTTGGTGTCACTAGTGTACAATCTGTGTGATTGGTGTCAGGAGAGTACAATCTGTGTGATTGGTGTCACTAGAGTACAATCTGTGTGATTGGTGTCACTAGTGTACAATCTGTGTGATTGGTGTCACTAGAGTAGAATCTGTGTGATTGATGTCACTAAAGTACAATCTGTGTGATTGGTGTCAGGAGAGTACACTCTCTGTGATTGGTGTCAGGAGAGTACAATCTGTGTGATTGGTGTCACTAGAGTACAATCTGTGTGATTGGTGTCACTAGAGATCAATCTGTGTGATTGGTGTCACTAGAGTACAATCTGTGTGATTGGTGTCACTAGAGTACAATCTGTGTGATTGGTGTCAGGAGAGTACAATCTGTGCACTTGGTGTCACTAGTGTACAGTCTGTGTGATTGGTGTCACATGAGTACAATCTGTGTGATTGGTGTCACTAGAGTACAATCTGTGTGACTGGTGTCGCTAGAGTACAATCTGTGTGATTGGTGTCACTAGTGTACAATCTGTGTGATTGTTGTCACTAGTGTACAATCTGTGTGATTGATGTCACTAGAGTACAATCTGTGTGATTGGTGTCAGTAGTGTACAATCTGTGTGATTGATGTCACTAGAGTACAATCTGGGGGATTGGTGTGACAAGAGTACAATCGGTAAGATCGGTGTCACTAGAGTACAATCTGTGTGATTAGTGTCACTAGAGTACAATCTGTGTGATTGATGTCACTAGAGTACAATCTGTGAGATTGGTGTCACTAGAGTACAATCTGTGTGATTGATGTCACTAAAGTACAATCTGTGTGATTGGTGTCACTAGAGTACAATCTGTGTGATTGGTGTCACTAGAGTACAATCTGTGTGATTGGTGTCACTAGAGTACAGTCGGTGTGATTGATGTCACTAGAGTACAACCTGGGGGACTGGTGTGACAAGAGTACAGTCGGTAAGATCGGTGTCACTAGAGTACAATCTGTGTGATTGGTGTTACTAGAGTACAATTTGTGTGACTGGTGTCACTAGAGTACAATCTGTGTGATTGGTGTCACTAGTGTACAATCTGTGTGATTGGTACCACTAGAGTACAATCGGTGTGAATCTGGTGCTCAATGGAGTACAATCTGTGAGATTGGTGTCACCTGAGTACAATCTGTGTGATTGGTGTCATGAGAGTACAATCTGTGTGATTGGTGTCACTAGAGTACAATCTGTGTGATTGGTGTGAGGAGAGTACAATCTGTGCACTTGGTGTTACTAGAGTACAATCTGTGCACTTGGTGTCACTAGTGTACAATCTGTGTGATTGATGTCACTGGAGTACAATCTGTGTGATTTGTGTCACTAGAGTACAATCTGTGTGATTGGTGTCAGGAGAGTACAGTCTGTGTGATTGGTGTCACTAGAGTACAATCTGTGTGATTGGTGTCACTAGAGTACAATCTGTGTGATTGATGTCACTAGAGTACAATCTGTGTGATTGGTGTCACGAGAGTACAATCTGTATGATTGGTGTCAGGAGAGTACAATCTGTGTGATTGATGTCACTAGAGTACAATCTGTGTGATTGGTGTCACTAGAGTACAATCTGTGTGATTGGTGTCTGGAGAGTACAATCTGTGCACTTGGTGTCACTAGTGTACAATCTGTGTGATTGGTGTCAGGAGAGTACAATCTGTGTGATTGGTGTCACTAGAGTACAATCTGTGTGATTGGTGTCACTAGTGTACAATCTGTGTGATTGGTGTCACTAGAGTAGAATCTGTGTGATTGATGTCACTAAAGTACAATCTGTGTGATTGGTGTCAGGAGAGTACACTCTCTGTGATTGGTGTCAGGAGAGTACAATCTGTGTGATTGGTGTCACTAGAGTACAATCTGTGTGATTGGTGTCAC